TGGCAAGGATAAAAGGTAATATGAAGAATAGACATTTCCTCTCTTCCAGGTTTTTCCCCCTAAACCTTCCTCTTAGCTGGAACCTACTTGCCGGACATTCAAAGAGCCTTGCCCTTTTGTATATCCCATACTGACTTCTGTACATCTCCTTGACTGTTTTTGTTTCTCTGGTCCCAGGAAGGGTTAACAGATTTCTCCTCAAACATTTCCTGAATGGGTTATTTGCATTATCACCCAATTGTACAAAGTGGTGCACCTACCTCTGGGAGACCACATAAGAGCCATTCTGTGAGTGCCACTGCTATGCACTCATTCTTTCTTAGGGGCATTATTCTGGAGCTCTGTTGATTCATTTCTTGGGTGCACCCCTTTATGTTTGTCCAGCACTATCACCTGGACATGAGGACTCTAGCTGATAAGAGTTTTTGGCAGGACCATTCTGTTATCAGTCTTCAACTTATGCACCTCTCTTCTCAGGTGAGTGAGCTGAGTGATGCACAGCGAGCACAAAGGAGGAAGACATGTTGCTGTAACTGATGTTCTTCAAGTAGTCGTTGTGCATTTACACAACTCTCCCTCTCCTTGTTAACACAATTGGTGTTATTCATCATGCTGCTACTGTGTTGGATGAGTTGGAACTGAGAAAATGGTGCTTGGAGCATGCCTATTAGGGAGTGAGGGAGAGTGGGTTGAGCCAGTACCAAAATTTTGCTAGCTAGAAGGTTCTGGATAGTGTGTCTGCACAGGCATTAGAGACCCATATGTGGAATGCCCAGACGGTCACTCAAAGAACATCAGTTATAGGTAAGCAACCTGTCCTATTTTTTTTTAGCTTCTTGGGGTGCATTTACATCTATTTGCTCACAGAATACTTTACACTAGCAGTTATCAACCACATATCTTCTCTTAATCATCTAAGCTGCCAGCTTTTTCGAGACTTCAGTTCATTTTCATTTCAATGCCTCTTCGCTTACAAATATGAAATTCTTTTGAAATTTAACAGGGCTGAGAGAGCTGTACCTGAAATTCTGTTGTTCTAACTTGATAGAAGTAGAATGTTACAGTTTTACATTGGGGCTGTAGCTTAGTTGCATAAATTGGTTCATTGAGGAGCTTTTTGAATGGAGGCCTACAAATTCAAACAAGATACCAAGTATGAGAGACCCAGAGTGACATAGTGGTTTGAGCATTGGACTACAACTCTGGAGACTAGGGTTCAATTCCCAGCTTGGCCACGAAAACCGATTGGGTAACCTGTGGCAAGTCATATAGTCTCAGGGGAAGGCAATGGCAATCCTCTTCTTGCCAAGAAAACCCCTTAGGGTCGTCATAAATTGGAAATGACTTGAAGGCACACTACACACACACTGTGAACCCAGATTTTTTAGCAGTGTGTTCTGAGAGCAAAATCTCTAGAGTAGCTAGCAGAAAAGCGATGCAGTGCCAGCAAATATGTAAAAAAGGTGTTTTTAAGATTTTATAGCAAGAGAGCTATCTTTGACTGTAGAGAAATAATGCAGCTAAAAATGTTACCTGCTTACTACTGTTTTCTCTAGATCAGCCTCTGATTGGGTTAGTACAATGTTATCATAATGTCAGAAATGACATTACATCACAACGTAGTGGGTAAACAATGGTAGTTAGGATAAACCTGCCCCTGCCTGTGAGGAATAGCAGGGAATAACCCGCTATAGCACAAGGATTGGAATAGATATGTGCCCCTGATCCAGATTCTGAAGAGGCGAAGCACACTAACATCTTCACATCATTGTAAAAAATGACCACACACGACTAGAGCCTAGATCACAGCAACTAAAGAGAAGGAGACCTAGAAGTGAAAAATGATCGGTGGACGCCGCTCTAGGGCTTCCTATGGAGATTCTGACAGCTCTTTTTGGGAGGTGTGTATTCCACCTTTTGTTTCCATTAAGACAATGACAGCATTCTATGACCACTGGTTCAGACTTGGAATGGTTGGGAAACTTCCCCAAAGCTGAAATGGAAAACCTGTGAAGACATACTGATCATTAACATGGGGTGGATTCAAAGGAACAAAAAGAACAAGGTAGTATACCTCTTGCCCCAATCCTCATAATGTGAATTCTACTTAAGAAGAGCAGAGGGTAATGCCAAGCCTTGCTTTACTTCGAAAGCAAACATGTCCTAACAGTCCTCTATGATGCATTTCAGTTGATCCTGGATTGGAGAGGAAACTTTTGTTGGTGTTGGCAACACATTTTCAGTCCCAGATCTGCAGTGAGCCAAAAAACAAAAAAGGGAAGTCAATGGAAAGTCTGCTTCTGGTTGTTATTTCTCCCCCAGTTTTTAAATCACTATTTGGATGGAGCAGACTGTGTTTGCAAGTATTACTGCACTGAAATCCTCTAGCTGCTCTGTAGGAGAAAAACCCTTCATTGGAGAATCTCTCTAGCGTGTGTGAGTGTATGTATGTGTGTGGGGGAGAGAAATCAATATATCATTTGCAATTATATTTCACCAGTGAGCTCAGGATGGCATAGCTGGCTTTCCTCCTGACTACTTTTAACTACACAATAATCCAATGAAGAAGATTAAGAGATAATGAATGGGCCAAGGTCTCCCAAGGAATTTCATAGATCTGTGGGAACTTCAGCCTGGACTTCCCAAGTCTGGATTCATCACCTAATCACATTTTTATTTTAACACATTTCAAACCATCTGCTTTATGGTTTTCTATATCAGATTTGTGGCACTTTCACCTTTTCTATCTCAGTTTTTCATGGTAAGTAACATGAAAAAGACCGTTAACTGGTTCATACAAATTCATGTAGTAAATATTTACTTTGCAAACTTTGGTAAAACCTAACATTCTTATATTTCTGGAACTGAGTCAAATGTGTTAGGAGATTTGGATAGATTTGCTGTAAGGCTATGGCTTCATTCAATTCAGTTGATAGTCTCAGTGACAACAGATACACTGAGTCAATAAACCTTATGTTTTAACTGATGTTAAGTGGGATCAAACTCACACCATTGTGGCTGCAGTATCAGCATTTTAACCACTGTGCCACCAGAGCTCCCTGGTAAATTGTAGCAAAGTTACTTTTTGGTCTAGAAGATCCAGAATTCTCTAGCAAAATTCTGTGAGTTATAGTCTAAGTCCTGATGCCAGGAAATCTGATGTCATATTTTAATCTGTTGCTGTTCCCCACCTCAATCCATGGGAAGAGGTGGGCAATGAATACATAAATACTACTAGTACTCCTACTCCTACTTACATATTGCCATGCTCAGCAATTGATTCAATTCATCTAACTCCAGTTTGGGACTAGTAATTGGATTCAGCCCCCAAAGTGTCTTCTAAAGTAAACAAGAATGTTAGCTGAAATTATGTCAAGGATATTTTTTGTTGTGTTGGTCTTTACTTTACATGGATTTTAAGAGTTTCTACAACTTTCTCGATTCCTCTAGGTTTCATGAGATCCATGTGGGTGGGAATCAGTAAGCTAAAAAAATGAAGGAGGGTAAAGGGGGGAAGAAAGGAAAGATGGGGTGGATGAGAAATGGGGTTTTCAAAATGTCGTGCACCTGCTTTCTTCTCTACTAAGCTCTAAAAATGAAGATGGACTCTTCTTCATTGAAGGTCTTTAACCAGAGGTTGAATGGCTGTTTTTCAGGACTGTTTTAGCTGCTCATTCCTGCATGGCAGGGAATTAGAGTGGATGGCTCTTTGTAGCCCCTTCCAATTTTGTGAATCTGATATTCAGGAAGCACACTTTAATTTGCTTAAAGTATATCCTTTCTAATGAAAGGCAAGAATGGCACTGTGGGGAAGTAGAAGATGAGGGATCAATATGGTAAAAGGACAAAACAATCAGTCCTCTACTTAGTCTAGTACAGCTTTCTCCAAGCTGGTGTCTTCCAAAAGCATTGGACTCCAACTACCACCATAACCATTATGTACCCACCATAACTGTTATGAAAACTGATTGTAATGCCCATCCACAATCAAATAAAAGAGGCATATCCAAAGCATAATGGCAACTGATCAATGTGGAGAAGAAACCAATTTGCAGCTCTGGGTGAGATCTAAAGAAATGCTTTAGGCACTTGCAACAGTTCGTATGTGTTCAATTAATTTTTTCATTTTGCCTTTGAACAGTACATACTGTGTCATATCAAAATGCTTTTGAGATTCCCCTTCATTTAAAAAGCGCTTTGCCATATTTTCTGTTTTTTTCTATGTGCTAACAAACACGAATCTTCGCTCTTCTTCATATCTTGCCTGTGGCATTATTTGTTCCATTTCTGACTGTGCTAGCGTGTTTTAATAAAATCATAGGCAAGATCTTGGGCTGGAGCAGAGAGACCCTAGTTTAAATGAGTTGGAATAAGAAAAAGGAATGAGATTGTCACTCATGGTTATGCTGCTTTTTAAAATCTCCCCAGTGTAAAGATAAACATAACACGTTATTCTAGGAATGGTAAACGTGGCCTTCCAAATGTTGTTTGACCACAAGTACCAACAGTCCTAGCCAAGCTAGCCAATGATGGGGAATGGTGGGAGTTGTAGTCCACCAACATCTGTGGCCTAAGAACATGTACACCTCTGTGTAACAGGCAACATATTACTTCTTTGCTCTGTGGTCTATACATACATTTTCTCCCCGCTTTCACCACTGCACAAACAGGTTTTATAGGTTTCTGAAGCAATGGAAAAATCCTGCACAGCTACATTACCAAAAGCCTCATGAGATTCCTAACAATCCTCTGCCTGAAGCTACCAGTCATCTCCTGGCTTGATGGTCTCTCTGTTGTCCCTCATCTGTTGTTGTTGTTGTTGTTGTTATTGTTGTTGTTGTGTGCCTTCAAGTCGTTTGTGGCTTATGGCAACTGTGGTGATCCTATTATGGGGTTTTTTCTTGGTAAATTTTTTTCAGAAGGGGTTTTGCCATTGCCATCCTCTGAGGTTGAGAATGTGTCACTTGTCTAAGGTCACCCAGTGGGTTTCATGGCCGTGCTGGGAATCGAACCCAGGTCTTCAGAGTCATAGTCCAACACTCAAACCATTACACCACACTGGCCCTCTCCCTCATCTGTGTAAGAACCCGCAAATCCATAGCAAATGGATTGTGATGTCACAGATACTGTTGTAGCTTGCCTGATGCAACCAGACAAGAGCAATCAGTTCCTTTAAAAATAAAATAAAAGGAAAACATGGCTGGCAGCAGTGCAGTTAGCAGAGCCAGCAAACAGAGCAAACAGTCTGAGGTAGGTGCTGTACATCAGTCCTTTGCTTGGCAGTAGGTTTTTGTTGGTCATGTAAGAGTTATGCACCCTGAACTAAGTCGTGTTGTAACTTCAGACAAAGTTAGTAACAGAAGGGAAGTAGTGAGTTACAAGTACCATCACACCTGTAAAAAATTAGGGAGGGGAATGATGAGGATGAGACCTTTCAAGAGGAATGTCATGAGTCAGAAAGGGTTCTTTGAAAGGTGCAACAAGTAGTTGTTTCTAGTTACTTTTAAAGGGCATTTAAAGGCTGGAGACCAGGGTTCAATTGCCGCTTGGCCATGAAACCCGCTAGGTGACCTGGGGCAAGTCACACTCTCTCAGCCTCAGGGGAAGGCAGTGGTGCACACCACCTCTGAACAAATCTTGCCAAGAAAACGCCATGCTAGATTCGCCTTAAGGTTGCCATAAGTCGGAAACGACTTGAAGGCACACAACGCACCACACAGACACAGACACACACACAAAGGCATTTTTAGAGACAATTTGGGAGGATTTTTTCCCAACTGTCATTCAAACAAAGATTTCTGGGGCAACAGTTATATACTACTATTCTGTCCAGAATCCTGAAAGCAGCTTGCAAAAAATGCAACAGGGTTTTTGAAATTTTTACTTTCAAAAAGTAGATAGGCAGGATTATTTGGGTGCCACTTGCACTTCACCAAAAAGAAATTGCCATTGCCAAAAAGTATACAAAACAGGATGTAGAATAAAATTCCATATGCTAATTTTTATGCACATATGCAAATTTAGTGGAGGTCAGTGGCAAACCTCCTCTGAACAACTCTTGCCAAAGAAAACCCCATGATAGGTTGCCTTAGGGTTGCCTTAAGTCAAAAAAGACATGGAGGTAAGCAAGACAACACAGCATAGTACTGTACCTACACCATCAGACTCCCCAAACTCTTTGTTCCTTCCTTTTAGTCCTTTAGATTATCAGAGCTACCACTTGCATTAAATGACAATAGATAGCCTTTTAGAGTACACACATTCTATGCATATGGCAGAAATCCTCCAAAGCCACAAGAAATCTTTATAAAGTGGACCCTCCCCATCCATGAGTGTTTGGTTCTGTGGGCCCCGTAGATGGGAAAAAACGTGGATGGTCACATCCCACGTTATTCAATGGGCTGTGATGTGTGTGCGTCCACCTCACCACATCCACATGCACACACCGCCATTGAATAATATGGGGCATGATGATCTGTGGGTGGTCAAATCTGGAGATTGCTAGCCAGCCAATATATATGTATGTGTGTGTACACACACACACACACAC